TACATTTTCCTTAAATCATCCTGGTGACCCATTGGGTGGGTCGCAAGTCAGGGTTTGAAAACCACTAGTATAGCACAATATAAAACAATTTGAATTGATCATTGTTTTATAATTTACAAATTGATTTATTAAAAAAGATGCCCTGGAACTCTGGCATAATATTCTATGTAGGGTCCAAGATATAATATAACCGCCTTTAAATATAGACAAAGATGAAGGTAGCTGCCCAAGTAGATGACACATAGCAAATTGGCTCATTATCTCCTTAAACAGAGCTCATAATGAATTAGTTCCATGCAGTGTGAGGATGCTTGTACCTTTGCTCCGTGTTTCTGAAGGACTTCAAGCACGTCATTATGACCTCGTTCAGACGCGACATGGAACGGAGTCATAAAACTAGAAGGAGAAAGAATATGTAATAATGTGAGAATGTATTACTTGCCATTTAATTATAATTTGTGAAATTTACTAGAAATTTCGGAGTGAAAATTGTTTCAAATAAATTGTACAACAATTTTTTCATATCTAAAGTTGAACACTCACTCCTTGTTCTTCTCGTGAATGTTGGCACCTTTCCGTAGCAGCAGCTCTGTGACCTGTTTGCGTTTGGGATGAGGAGAGGCTACGGCGCAGTGCTGCGAATATCATAAAGATATTTTAATAAACACATCATTAAAACCCTCAGGATTCAGAGGAGACCATGTAAAGTGCTCACCAGAGCAGAGTCGTGCGAGTGAGGATGTTTGAAGCTGATGATCTCTTGAGCAGTTTTCTTGACCTTTGCCATGTCCGCCTCGCGGGCCGCTTGCAATAGCGCGTGACCTTTGAACTCATCTGGATTAAGGAAATCACAAAAGTCAAACGATTACTAACTAATAGCCCTGCATCTTGTAACAATTAGCAAAAAAGGCCAATATTACCCAATGTGATGAAGTTTTCAATCAGTTTTTTTTTTTATTACATATGAGCTATAATGTACATACCAAAATTTAACACACTTAAAAAAGCAATCAAATGTAAAAAGTCATGGTTTTAATGACAGAGGTATTAAAGATTTATAATTTTACTTAGTCTGCAAAGGCATGACAAAAAATTAATTTTAGTTCAAAAACTTTGCAAAATAAGCTTTTGTTTATATTTTTTTGTCACTATCCATAATTCTAACATTGAAACCAGCATTTAGCATCAAATAATGTCAATCATGTGAATATCAGCTGAGAATTGAACAAATAGTTCATAGGAATTATTTCTTTGTTGCAGTTTTTCTGCTTATTAAGAGTTCTTCACCTTACAACTGGTTGTAAAAAGCAAAAATGCTATGAAATGCATAACTTTGTAGCATCATCAGTTTGACAAAGTGTGATTTCCTAGAGAAAAACAGTCACCCCAAAATTTGTAAGCAACGAGTATTGAATATTCATCAAATCCAATGCAGGGCGGTGATACTGAAAAGAAAGTAGCATGAATTTCACTTACAGGTGAGTCTCTCTTTAAGTTCAGGTGTGGGCGCCACATCCACCGCGCTCTTGCCGTGGCAGTTGAGCAGTGTGGGATCAGCGCCGTGACTCAGCAGCAGTGAACACACCTCCACTCGATTCTTACTGGCCGCCTCGTGCAGCGGCGTGAACTGCCACAGGTCCATAGCGTTAACGCACGCCCCGTGCTGCAAGCGAGACAAACAGGAAAGCATCAATCATGTGTATTATTGTAACTAATGATCAAAACAATAAAGCACCTGTGGTTATATCAGTGCTGGGGGAGCTAATACATTGTGAGTATTGGCTGGATTGTTTTCTTTACCTTCAGCAGGAGCTCTGTGACCTCATAGTGACCATAAGAGCAGGCATTATGCAGAGGAACTAGACCACTGATAGAGAGAGAGAGAGTGAGAGTGAGAGAGCAAAACAACATTTCAGAATTATTCAAAAGATCATGATTAAAGCATTTAAACCAGCATGAAATCAATAACAGCCATCTTTCCTAATAATTATTGCTGATTAAAAGGATATACATCTTTGAATTTTTTTTTCTTAATAACCTCAGTTTTAACAGTAGTGTACATATAATAATATTATATATATATATATATATATATATATATATATAT